GCCACTCTTAAAAGGTTACTGCAGATAAAAATATGGGTTGCTTTTCTGCTGCAGCTTCTCATAAAAAAACCACATCAATACTGTATAAAGAATGAAGTTAAATTTATGCATAGTTCGGGGGGACGACGACTCTCAACTCAAAATCAAACCTGCCAGTTCTTTTGGCTTTTTTAGCACAAGGATGGTTAACTACTAGGTGAATTGTCTCCTTTTCCAAACATATATTTTTCTGTAATTTTTAGATGCCAACAGAGACACCCCGTTTGATCCCTGAAAACGGCTGGTAACTATTAGCTACCAAACATCATTCAATAATGATCTTGGCATGTTTAGAATACACCTCTTTAGCTATTAGCCAAATGAGACATTAGGGAGAAAAAGCACCTATCCCAGTGATGGTGAAACTTTTCGGCTGGTCTGTACCAGAAACCCAAAGACCAGCTGGTGGGCACATGCATGCCGTTTTTTTGGCCATTTTTGGTCATTTTCAGCCCAAAAACAGCCCCCCAAAAGGCCTGAAAATGGCCCAAAAAGCAGTTTGTTTTTTTGGACATTTTTCAGGATGTTTTCTAGTGTGCTCGTGCCTGCAAAGACCAGCTACGGGGTTCATATGTGCCAGTGGTGGGATTCAGCCAGTTCGTATCTATTTGGGACAACCGGTTGTTAACTTTCTAAGCAGTTTGGAGAACCGGTTGTTGAAATAAATCTTATTTTNCCTTGCAGATGTGTGCTAGTCGTTCCAGATCTAAGGGGCAGTGCTCATCTGGCCAGCATGACTAAACATCCAAGTGCAAGGAACGCTGTTACCTTCCTACCAAAGGTGGTTCCTATTTTTCTACTTGCATTTTTACATGCTTTTGAACTGCTAGGTTGGCAGAAGCTGGGACAAGTAATGGGAGCTCACTCCATTACGCGGCACTAGGGATTCGAACTGCCGAACTGCTGACTTTTCTGATCGACAAGGTCAGCGTCTGAGCCACTGAGCCACCATGTCCCTCAAAGTACCCTTACTGAATTTTAGGAAAGCAAATTTCTGTTGAAGGTCAGGAAAAAACTTTGTAAAACAAGAGCAATTTTGAATGGGATCAATTAAAGCCTTTAGCTGGATCTGTCTAAGCATGGGCTAGACAGCCAGTTGTTGATGCTGCTGTGTGATCTGGGCCTCATACCTCAATGGTGTCTTCCAACTCTATTATCCTGTGCATCAGGGAAGAAAAAGATTGTGGGATGAAAAACAGAGTAAAGTGATTTGTTAAAAAGTGTCTAGAACTATTTACCCTGATCTGATCTCCTCCAGATGTCTTCTATTTCAAGTCCTATGATTCTTACCCTATATGGCTAAGGTGATGAAAACGGTTTAAAGCTTTGTCATTGAAAAATTTAAATGACTTTTCAAATGTATTTTGCTTTGTATCCAAAGAACTCCTGAAATAATTCATTCAGTAAAGGAACCTCTAGTGTCAGCATTGTGCCAGAACTGAATTTTCTGTTTGAAAGCTCTAAGAATGAACCAAAACAATTTCTAAACATGCTTGATTTAAGAACATAGAACAAATGTGCCACAGGTTGAACAAAACAGGGGAAATTTAAGTCAAGTGGCTGTCCCATCAATCTTTTATAGAACAAATATGGAGGAACCTAGGGCATCTTAAATCTAAGATATTTATTGTGCTGCAAACATTTTGTGATTTCATCTAGTTCTAATTGAAAAAGTGAAAAAAATTACACAATTTCTTAAATATTTAAGTGTCACATAATCCTTTATTGCTATGTTTCTGTTGCTATTTAGTCAATTTAAATCTGTACAATACATAATGGCCAACACCGAATGTCTGACAGATTTCACATGATACAAAAAGTATGTTTAGCATGCACTGAAACTGCTAACAAATTGGACTTGTATATAAAGATTCTTGGTTCTTAATTTTCCTTTCCAAATATGTTTAAGCATATAGTGACTGAGTTCACATATTGCAGCTAAGCCTAAAGTGTGAACCTAATTAATCACGGAAGAAGTGAATTCTGCTGTGTAGCCAATGAGCATTCACAGATTTGAAGAACCTAAAAAAAATTAGGCTTTTGAAGTTTGAATGCAACTATAGGGTAATTTATTTGTTGCATTTTCCCTGCAGGAACTTAACATATTTTATCTTTTGAACTCCATTTTCATGTTATAATTTATTACATTTATATGCCACCTCTCTCACTGTGAAAAGCTACTCTTAAGATTGTGGATGATGGTTTATTGTATACAGGTAGTTCTTGACTTACAACAACAATTGAGGGCAACATTTTTGTTGCTCAGTGAATTATTTTTTTAGTGAGTTTTGTCCCATTTTACCACTATTCTTGCCACAGTTGTTAGGTAATCATTGCACTTGTTACATCCTTAACACAGTTGTTAATGAATCTGGCTTCCCCATTGACTTTGCCTGTCAAAAGTTTGCAAAAAGTGATGACATGACCCGGGACACTGCAACTTTCAGAAATTTAAGTCAGTTGACAAATGACTGAATGTTGATCACATAGAATAGAAGAAAGTTCTTTATTGGCCAAGTGTGATTGGACACACAAGGAATTTGTCTTTGGTGTATAGGCTCTCAGTGTACATAAAGAATAGAATAGAATAGAAAAGAATAGAATAGAGTTCTTTATTGGCCAAGTGTGATTGGACACACAAGGAATTTGTATTTGGTGCATAGGCTCTCTGTGTACATAAAAGAAAAAATATATTCATCAAGAATCACAAGGTACAACACTTAATGATAGTTATAGGGTACAAATAAGAAATCAAATCATACTAGGAAACAATCAATGGTAAGGATACAAACAAGAAAGTTACAGTCATACAGTCTTAAGTGGGAGGAGATGAGTGATAGGAATGATGAGAAGATTAATAGTAATACAGCAGAGATGGCATTCAGCAGGTTCTGACCAGTTCTGGAGAACCGGTAGCGGAAATTTTGAATAGTTCAGAGAACCAGTAAATACCACCTCTGACTGGCCCCATCTATTCTCTGCCTCCTTAGTCCCAGCTGATTGGGAGGAAGTGGGGATTTTGCAGTAACCTTCCCCTGGAGTAGGGAGGGAATGGAGATTTCACAGTATCTTTCCCCTGCCACGCCTACCAGCCACACCCATAGAACTGGTAGTAAAATTTTTTGAATCCCACCACTGTTAAGTGCAGACCTAATAAATAGTTTGACAGTGTTGAGAGATTTTTTTCTTTAGCAGAGTTATGGCATTCGGGAAAACTGTTCTTGTGTCTAGTTGTTCTGATGTGCAGTGCTCTATATGACTTCAATGTTGCTGCAACAGTCATCAGTGGAACCTGGAATTAAGGAGAAACTTCCTAACAGTGAGGCCAATTAACCAGTGGAACAGCTTTGCTTTCAGAAATCGTGGGTGTTTCATCAATGGAGGTTTTTAAGAAGAGACTGGACAGTCACTTGTCTGAGATGGTAGGTTCTCCTTCTTGAGCAGGGGGCTGAACTAGACGACCTCCAAGGTCCCTTCCAGCTCTATTCTATTCTAAATTCTAAAATGTGAGAAATGGTCATAAAGCCCTTTTTTAGCACTGTTGTAACTTCAAATGGTCACTAAATGAACTGCTGTAAGTCAAGGACTATAGAGGTGGTATTCAGCAGGTTCTGACCAGTTCTGGAGAACCAGTAGTGGAAATTTTGAGTAGTTTGGTAAATATCACCTGACTGGCCCCACCCCTATCTATTCTCTGCCTCCTGAGTCCCAGCTGATCGGGAGGAAATGGGGATTTTTCAGTATCCTTCCTCTGCCACACCCACCAAGCCAGGACATGCCCACAGAACAGATAGTAAAAAAAAAATTGAATCCCACCACTGAAGAACAACCTGTATGCTGCAACCCATAGAGTGCAGACTGATAGTGAAGAGTTGAAAATGAACAAATAAGCCAGTATGTCCCAATATTGGCAAACTCTGAGAAGTGAAGTCCATGCCCTGATTGAGAAACACTGAAAGAGTCAACACCTGCCCCAGTAGGTTGCGGAGGGTGTGGTCCCCACTTCCCCAGAAATCTGCTCATTCAGTCCTACATGGAAGCAGTGACACCCCCTCTCCCAGTTATAAGCATGCAAGAGTCCGATTGAGGCCACTGCCAGCTTGCCCAACAAGACCCAGGTAGAAGCAGAGAGGCAGAACAAAGAGGCATGAAGAGATTGGACTGCCATTTGTCAGAAATGGTGTAGGGTCTCCTACTTGAGGGTGGGGGGTTGGACTAGATGACCTATAAGGTCCCTTCCAACTCTGTTATTCTATATTCCTGCGTTCAGAAGTTGTTGGAGCTTCATCACTGGAGGCTTTCAAGAAGAGACTGACATTTGTCAGAAAAGATGTAGGGTCCCCTGCTTGAGCGGGGTGGGACTAGATGACCTATAATATCCTTTCCAACTCTGTTAATCTGTTAAAGAGGCATCAGAAGGCACGGAGGACCGGCAAAGCTGTCCTTGCACCTAAAAGCCCTACCCAGCCCGCTCTGCCCTGGCTGCATCGTCTTATCCACAAAGGCTAACACGCTTCGCAACGCTCATTCCAACGTAACAATTGCAATAGGGCCCATAACACGGGCAAAGCTTGCCGAGCATTCATTCACCCTGAATTGGATTCCTCAGGCAGGGCAACGTTACGAGGAGCAACCAGAGACCCCTGAGTGGAGGTATAAAGCCCGGGGAGCCGCCCACGACAGGAGGACCCAGGACTACATTTCCCATCACCCCTCGATTAAAAAGAGAGCGAGGGGAGCGGACGGTTCCCCCTCCCTCCTCTCGCCCTCCCGCCGAGCGGCACGTGCCGTCCGCCCCAACCAATAGAGGGCGTGTCGGGGGCGGGTCACGTGCCTTTGTTTGGCGCTTTTATGGAGCAGGCAGAGCAGTTAGGCGCGGAGTCTGTCTGTGGTGACGGGAGCAGGTGGGTCGAAGGCGAAAGCGGGGCGGGAAGCGAGGTAGGGCCGGGCGGGGCTGCTCCAAGGGAACGAAAGCCGGTTCTCGTGGGCATTCTGGGCGGCTGTGGGGCGAGGTCTCCGCAAAAAAGCCGCTTTTAGTCTTTGGGCGTCTCCGTTCACCTCGGCGGGGGTCTTCTTGTCCTTCGAGTGGGAGCTTCGGGGTTGCGGGAGGGGAAAAAAAGGGACGCGACGTTGACGAAGGGCCGCCGGGAAGCTCGGACGTTCGGCTGCTGCAGCTGCTGCCTCTTCGCCGCTTCCAGCTCCGCAACGGAACAGGTGGCTACCCTGGCGCCGTTCCCCTCATGGCGCCAAGCTCTGCCCGGCTGGCTCTCCCGCTCTTTCTTTCCCGGCCCCTCCTAGGTTTGACAGAAGTGGAACGCTTTGATCCATTGTTCGAGGGGAAGGGGCGGCGGCGGGAAAGGGGGGGGGGGCGCCGCCTTGCCGCGCGCGTTGCCGAGCTTTGGGAGGGAGGGGGCGCCAGAGACAACACCCGCCTGGCGCGCGCCGTCTCCCTCCACCCGGGCGGTGTGGGGGAGGGGGGGAGAAAAACGCGTGAAGGTGGGAAAAGGGTGTGTTTGGGGGGGGGTGAGAACTAAATAAAGCCCACTCACCCCCCTCCGGCAGGCTGACGACCCAGAAGGCAAAATCAAACAGCTCGTCCCGCTCGAGCTCTTCTGGCGGGACGAAAGGTGGAGGGAGGGGCTCCTCAGGGGAGCGACAGCGAGGGGGGGGGTTTACAGGGAGAGGAGCCCGAGCGGCGGGTTGCCCGGATGTTACCGTTGCAAAAAGCTCCCCCTCCCAAAGGGGGGGGGATTGGCGCGCGCGCGCTCTCTTGCTCCTTTTCAGGCGGTTTGAATTCGGTGCGTTCGAGAGCGGCGCGTGGGGAGGGCGGGGTTTCCTTCTCCCATTCTACCCCTCCCTTTTTCTTTTTTTGAATCTTCTCTTTAGTTAATAAGGATGGCTGGCTGGCTGTCGGTGGCCCCGCCCCACTGAGGGGCAGCGGTGGGGGGGGGCTTTTCTCTCCACCCTGTTTCTTCCTCTTCAATCTTGGGCGTTGTTTATCTGGCTTTTCTTTAACGGTGTTTTGTTTTGTATTATTCTTTATGTAAAAAAAAGGAATAGTCCCCACAGTGTTTCTTCCCCTCTCCACCCCTCTTTATTGTATCATCGCACACCTAGGAGCTTTAAACCTTAGGGGTCCTTTTATTTTATTTCAATTTTTTTTTTTTTTTTTGCTGAATTCCTGCTTTATCTCAAGTCCTTTGTGTGGATGGGCTTAAAAAGAGACCCAGAAGCAATGTGATTGCTTTATTGATGCTAATGTAGAACAAACACTGTCCTACTGAGGCACCCTTTGTGCTTTTTTTATAAAAAGCAAGGACAATGGCATTACTGATCTCTGGCTGGCAGGTCATTAGAAATACACATTTTCTTGAGGGAGATCTTCAGGAATTTGATATGCATAATTTGATATGCAAGGGGGGGTTGATCATCCTTGATCATTGCCCTAGAAAGTATAGACAGCTCTTAGTTGATATATGTTTGTGTTAGAGATACATTTCCTTAGCTTATTTTTAGGTGCTTTCCCCTGAGCATTTAATAAAATAAACCCTAATGCTAGCATCAAATGTCTGGGGGCCCAAGCAGCAAGCACTCCAGGGGTCTCTTCAATCTAGGTATATTTAAAGAGAAAGCTAGTATGTCTGCCTTTAAGAGCAACTGTGTGTCATGGATATTTTACTGTCTAATTGTGAATTGTACAGTGTTGGATTCTTTGTTACTGGAATGGAATTGTTTCTAATTTACGAAAAATCAAGCTGAGAAAACTGAGTATATTTAACTCTAATCTTTGCATGTGAAATTAGTGAGGAAATATATATCATCTTAGCTAATTGTTTAATGGACATAAGTGCTGTGCTTTATGTTAAACAATAAATACCCATACTGTCATTGGTGAGAATACGGTGATGATAGTGTCTCAGGAAGAACAACCACGTGGTACCATGTCTTTGTTCATTCCACATAGACATGTTACCACTACGTGTTAGTGGATCTTGAATGGGTCTTAAGGTGAAAAATAGGATATAGCAGATATGACCTAAGCCTGAGTATTCTAGTTTGATTACTACATTCCATACTGCTTGACATTTTTAGATGCATTACCTCATATGTATTTTCTAAATTTGAAAAACAAGATGTAGACTCTGGTAGAAGATATAACTTACCAACAATGCTTATCATTTAGAATTATTTTAAATTGTTTAAAATACTGAGATCAGTCATGTTAACAGTAATGCATATTTCAATTTATTTAAGGATGTGTCTGCTTTCTTAGGGCTCATTTACTGGAGTAGCTGTAATACCCTTTGGAGTTATTCTGTTTAGTCATGGCGTCTTCTGGTAAGTATTAGCTTCATTGTATTATAATGCATCATAATTGAATAAGAGAAATGTTTTCTCAGCATGTGTCTGTTGGTGTGGGTATATTATTTATAGTGGGTGTTATGAGTCATCCTTTGATTACAACTATTTCTAAAGAAAAATCGTATTCGCAAATAATGGAGATATGTATAAATACATAAATTGGAAAATAGTTTAAGTGATGCCTAATTTTTTATCCTTTGGAGGTTAATATCAACTAAGGTTAAAAGTAATTTTAGTTCTAAAGCATTGATTAAATTGAAATTGCTAATGTAATCCTTAAAAGTGTTCCAGTGTTCTGTTTTAAATTTATGCAGGACTATTTATCCATATTCATTTCCTGAATATGCTGCAGTAATATGGAGTTGGGTATACAATAAAGTTATAAACATCTAGTTTTCTGTAAGGAATAGATCATTTTTTTCTTTGCACAAGTTTGTGGAATTTTATTGATTCCATAAAATGAAGGTCCTGGGCAGATGGAGTAGCCACAATTAGCCAATATAACAGTTTTTAAAATCCAACAAGACTCAAAATATGGCTCAGAATATTAACTAAAAATTATCTCATCTAGACATACAGGTGAAAGAACTAGAAAAGCGTGCTTCAGGTCAGGCATTTGAATTGATACTTGGTCCTCCTCCAAAAGAAGCTGTTCCAGAATTTCCTCTCTCTCCTCCAAAGAAAAAAGATCTCTCATTGGAAGAAATTCAGAGGAAATTGGAAGCTGCAGAAGAAAGACGAAAGGTAAATATATACTGTTCTATTTTCATATGCCTATGTGCCAATGAAAAGTGGATTGTAGCAGTTAATAGCTGACCATAAAGGAGTATATAAGGAGTATTGTAAACTATAAGTACTTTGAACATGGATCCTAAGTTATTTTAAGAATTTCGGAAGTTTGATGAAAATTGTAATATGATTGCAGAGAGTGGGACTGCTTGACTTAAATTAATTTGACCAACCATTTATTGAATCATATGAAAGATAGGAGGGTAACGTTAACTTAGACAAGAACTGTAATTGTATATAGATTGCTCCCAGCTAAATGCAAAATGGATCTATATTCTAGTCCCATGAAGCTGAAGTTTTGAAGCAACTAGCTGAAAAGCGAGAGCATGAAAAAGAGGTGCTGCAGAAGGCAATTGAAGAAAATAACAACTTCAGCAAAATGGCAGAGGAAAAGTTGACTCACAAAATGGAAGCCAACAAAGAGAACAGAGAAGCACAAATGGCTGCTAAACTGGAACGCTTGAGAGAGAAAGTAAGTGCTGTTCAATTTACTTCATTTAGTAAGCTGTGAACTTAGATTGCCAGTTGCACACAGAATAGCTGGCAATAGTTCTTCAGATTTCACAGAAGAGTTTTGTTTTTTTTAAACATGCAATGGCTAAATCCAGAAATCCTACATATAATAATAAAAACTAATAATCTGGTTAAGAATTGGCATTCAATTTGAATGCTGTAAAGAAAGGCACTGAACTTTACAAGAAGCAAAAATGACAAATAGCTAGTTCACTGGCCTTTATTTCTATTTGGACTGTAGAACTTGGGAAATCATTGGGTATGACCATAAATTGGCTGCCATGTGAGGCATGTTTAATCACAACAAAATTGTATAATATTGAATACAATAAGTTTCATGTTAAATAACTACCATCTTTTCAGAAAAATAGAAAAGCTTACCTGAGACAACTTGGTATGGCAGCCCCTGAGATATCGGAACGCTGCTATCATGTCATACCTAGTCCTTCTTTTCATCAGACTAGACATACCCAATTCCAGCAACCATTCATTATATGTTTTAGCCTCCAATGTTTTAGTCCCCTATCATCTTTGTTGCTCCTTTTTTATTTATTTAGAACATCTATATAGCCATCGATCTTATATCCAATTGTGGGTGACTTCTAGAATTTGGGTGGGAGCTTTGGTTTTTATTTGGGGGGGGGGGATTTGTATGGATCCCAGAAAAAGCAAGGATGATAGGTAACCAATGATAAAATTTGATTAAGAAACCTTTTTTTAAAAAATCTTGTTTTTAAAAGTGGGTTAAACAAGAGCCACGTACAACACCAGTAGACATGGCATTGTGAATTGAGATTAAGAAGATTCAAACACAGTAGGCTCATCTAGACATGTCTCTGTCCAAATAACTTATGTTTATATTGTAGTAGGATCAAACCCAGTCTTTCCTCAATAAAAAACTACTTTTGCAACTGTAAAAATGCTGTAACACTATACACTTATGCTTGCTTTTATGCTTTAAACTGCTGTGGCACATTTTAGGAATAAAAATACTTCATCAAAAGTGTATTGTTTAAGGCAGTAGCTTTCTTAAACATAGGAAAACTTACAAATGAGAATTATAGTAGTATGAAGCTAACTCTTAAAACACAGGATTAAACGATTCCGTTTATCTCTCTCCCCCCCCCCCTTCTAGCTAGCCAGCTGGAATGAAAATTTTCAATATCTATATTATTGTGCCCATCACTACTACAGTCTGAAAAAATAGAATACAATCTGTAGAGATTTTTATATGTAGATTATTTAAGTCCTTTGCTACATCGTTAATCAATGTTCTTAATTTAGTATATTCCATTTACTATCAGGAAATTGCTCAATGAATTCCCCACAGCATAGCCAAACCTTAGTTGTAATCCAATTTATTTGGACAGTGCTAGTTTAAGGAAAAGTACTTTGAATTAAACTCTCAATTTGGATAGAATTAAAATTTCAGAAGAACTTACTGTTTTCTCATTTTTTAAATTTTGCTTTCCTAGGATAAGCATATTGAAGAAGTACGAAAGAACAAAGAAGGAGGCAAAGAACCTGGTGAGAATGAAAGCGACTGACTTCATTCTGGAAACTAACTTCTCCCCTTTGTCTAAATATCCAAAGACTGTATTGGCCAGTGTTTTTTTGTTAAGTTTCTAGAAACTGATGTAGAGCTGTATAGTTAGATCTGACTGTACACTTGATTTGGGGAATTAGAGGGGAGCCCTTTCATGTTCACTCTTTTTCTAAACTGTTGTCTTTCCAGTGTAGCTATCTTGTTGCATTTCTTCTATTCCAGTGCAGTTGTTCCTGGATTGATGGCTAGTGCTATGTTCAGCTCTGACATTTTTGTGAACTGAATATGTAGTGTAATGTTCATGCTGAATCTGTTACACTTCAGAATATGTCAGTCTTAAGATATTACTGTAACTAAGTGATTTAATAAAGCTGCACAATGCTGTTATCACAGGTGAGTGTTTTTGAAACTAGCATTACTACATAAGCAGTTCAAGCATATTTATAGCTAGAATATTGGAATGCAATATTAAAATATCTACAAATTATTCCTAAATACAGTGGCATAATATTCCTCAGTACTGTTTTCTGTGCAGTTGCCTATTGTTCTAGGTTTACAATAAGAGCTTTGTCTTCTACCTTAGCAGTTGTCAGCTGCTATTTATTCAGACAACCCAGAACCACCTCCCTTCTTGACTATTCTAGTACTTGCAACAAAAACAAATAATTCTTTGTTAACATAGGATAAATTCGAAGGGATGAAGTCTCTCTTAAAATTTAGGGTATCTTCACAATTAAGTTTAGAAATAAAAACAGTTCTCCTTAAACAGCACATAAAAAGGAAACTCTTACCTTGTAAAAACAATAAAAATCATTGCACTTGTAGGTTCAAAGCTTATTAGGTAAGAACATTTGGTTCTGCTTTCACAATTTGATCTTAGAGATACTGTTAAAGTAAGGCTAAGCTTTTCTCTAACAATATATGCCATCAAAAATATTTGTATCTTGGGATGATGACAAAAGCCTGGCATAGTATCTGTTTAATTTGTATCATTGTTGTAGAATGGATATGGGAATTAAAAGCGCCCTCATGTGGCAATAGTATTGGTAACTATATAGTCAAGAATGGTATGTTGTATACTGGATTATGTTGGAAATAAAAGCATACATTTAAGCTTTAGGAACTCAATGTTGCAATTGGTTACTGCAGTTAAAATACTTTTTCAACATCTTTTAAGCTTTTAAAAGTAGTTTTCATTAGCTGCAGTAAAGAGAATTGATTGGGTTAACTAAAATTGTGTTTGTAGCCATCTTACCTTGATATGAGAAACATTTATCTGATATTCTATCCCCAGACCTTTGGATGTTTAATTAAAATATATGATTGGTGCCAAGTGGTTCATGCTGTAATTTTTAATAGTTTAAACGTGAAACTGCTTCTGTGCATGCCTGTGTTCAGATATATGTGCTTGATCTTCTTGCTCATTTCATCAAAATAATAAAATTTATAATTACCATATCTCTGTATCTTAGACTTAGTCAGTTATTAATAAATAGACTTAATCAAATTTGGTGCATTTTTCTGCTGTCTTTAGATAGCGAATGTTTTGCCACTGTAAACGCTTCTAAGAAATTTATTGAAAGTGTTGGGTTCAGAAAATGCTATCAAAAACATATTTGAAGTAGTATAGCTATCTGTCGGTAGGTTTTGTTAAAACAATGTAAAATAAATATAGCACTAGAGACCAAGATTTTTTTTTAAAAATGCTTTGATATATAAATGGTATGTATGTCTATTTGGTAATGATTGGATTAATTACAGTGAGACTAAGTGTTCAGGTAAGTATGGATCTCAGCAGATAGGGATATCTGCCTGACCTTTGACTAGGTTAAAAAGCATATTGACCTTTTTAATACTTGAATGGGAGATTGTCAAGAGACTTTTAGGCTGCTAGGCTGATTGATAAATTAAAAATGTCGGAAAAGGGTAACTGCAAACCATATGTGCATTGTTGCAAAGATAATGGAAGGTATGTTTCATTAAGGGTCCAAATCTATTTTATTATATTTATGCAGCTACACATCTCACATAAAAGTGCCCCTGATAGCTTACAACACTTAATTGAAAAACAGATAAAATGTTATACAAAAAGTATTAACCACAATAAGGGAACTGTTGCAAAATCTTTTTAAGAGCACCTTTGTCTTTTCTAAGCTTTAAATACTATATTCTGTTACTGAAAAACATGTATCCAGAACTTACCTGTAACTTAATTTGAAACATTTTGTTTGACAACTGAAAACTTTCCCCCCATTTCTGCATCTTTTTGGTGGACTGAAATTTCAAGCAAACCAATGCAGAAGTTAGATCTTGAATCAATGTGCTGTTGCATTCTGCAATGTGAAATAGGTGAATTAATATTTAACAGGGTTTTTTTGGTAGAATGCAAAGCCGTTGGAGTCAGAATATTGAGAATACTTCAAACAGCATATAAATGAACACTCTTAAGTAGTCTTAACATTTTTAAAATAATGGCTATATGTTTTGCTCCTGCATGAAAGTATGTTACTTAGGGATAATACATCCTGTCATGATACAAGCACCAATATTGCTTCAAGTAAAAAGTCTTGGTTTTCAAATACAAGATTTATGAATGGGGTTTCCTGTCAGTAGGAAAGGAAGCTATTTTTCCATGTTTAATCCATGCTTCCCTATTGGAGGAACATCAGTTACTTTCCTTAGTTGTTTCCTGTCTAAATGCTGTTGGGTTTTACTTAATTGTACCAGGAAAGTTAGAAAATGGAAAGATATTCAAGTGAAATTGCTCTACCATACATCTCACTCATTCAATAATAAGTTTGTACAACTTTGGATCCTAGCCTTAGGAAGTCTCGATTTAGTAATAGAAGCCTCCAAGCTGATGCCACTCAGAATTCTAAAATACTTTAGTTTAATTTGGCCAATATCCACAGCAGTTACTAGATGTAGGCTTAAAACATCTGGGGATAACATTGGAAAAATATCTTTTTTTTTTGTTCTAAAAAAAAACATTGGAAAAATATCAATTGGAAAAGTTCATTTTGAAAGCTTGGAATACCTCTTAATGTATTTGGATAACTCTTAATTTAAATTAAAATGTTCTTACATTGGGGAACTACAGTTTTGTTTCAGAAAAGAGATGAATGGTTCAATTTATAAGCTGTCCATCTTATAAAGGTGACACTAGGTGGCATGCAGTAAAAACAAAATTCCATTCTCTTGCTTGCTAGATTTTCAAGAACAACCAAGTAAATTTATGTACTATACAGTAGTTTGAATTCTCAAGTGTGTCTTAGAGTACAAGTCTTTAGATTTTTTTTCCAGAGCTCCAATATACATACAAAGGACCAGCCTTAAAAACATTTTTCCTGAAACAAAATGAGTTTGTTGGGATACCATTGGGCCTGATACCTATTGACTGCATGGAAAAATATTAACCTTTTCAACATGTTACATGTTTTAGGCTTCCAAGACATTCATATAGTCATCTTGATCCTGTTTATCGTACTATTCTGCTTTTCTTCCTTCAACCTTGCAAAGGATTGTGATTTTCTGTAGCCCATTATCCTTTGGCAGGCCTGTATAAACTATAGGCATTGGCTGCTTTCTGATTATTGTTTTTTATTATTCAATACAGTTTCGATTATTCAATACAGTAGAGATTGGTCATTTGGTTTACATGGTTCAATGCAAACGTTTAAACAGCAGAGAAAATGTTCTTATTTGTTTTAGAATATTATTTCTCCAAACCTAGTTCTTACAACTTATTTTTCATTGTGAAGGTTCCTCAAAAGAATAGTAAGAGGTTCTAGGTGTTAGTATCATCAGTTTAAGCAGAGCACATATATACATATACATACATACATACATACATACATACATACATACATACATATATATATATATATATACACACACACACACATATATATAGAGAGAGGGACAGTGGTCATATACATATGACAGTGGTCATATACACATATATATAGAGAGAGGGCTGAAAGCCCTATGAAGCGGTATATAAGCAGTATATAAGTCTATTGCTATTGCTATACATACACACACATATACATACACACACACACACACACACATACATACATACACACATAATTTTCCAGTCTTTTGGGCATATAGATCTGTTCCATGTTTGGAATACTTCTTGATGTATTGGATAGAAGTTGTAAATACTTTAATTATCTGCAGCTTTTAAGTGGTGTTTCATTTGCACCTTCTTTTAAATCTGCTAGCTTTATCCTAATTTGCTTGTGGCAGAGTTGATTCTCCCCCTCCCCAATTCTATGTTTTTGTTTGATCTCATTGTCTTTTTGTATCTACATTTCGTATACCTGCGTATACAAAGAGATGTATTTGATATAAAAAATGTGAATATGTAGCGAAGCAGATAACTACTGCTTAGTGATGCTATTGATAAGGTTATAATGTGGTTGTCAAAGTTATATTAACTTTTGGTGCCTTTCCAAGTGCCATTCAAGGTAGTGATTGCTACCTCTGAAAGGGAGCAATCAGCTTGGGGCTTGGATATCTATAAAACCACCTTATGTGCAGATGGCCAGAAAAATCTAGTTCTTTGCAAAGCCTTTGGGAATTGATTGTCAAGTCACTGGTGGTGGCTTTAGTTTTGATAGTGTATCATTTTCTTATTATAATTGTATAAATTTTATTATTGGTATCTGGGCAGCCTAGAGCTGTCTGGATTGAGAAAAATCATTCATTCATTCCACAGTTGGCATCTGGAAATATCCTGGATGATAGGATTGTACTACTTCATCATTGTTTCCTATTGTGCAGTCAATTTAATTTTGATATTGTATTCTTAGGAAATATCCATATATAGAGTCTGCATTTGTATTTCTTGAAACAGGTGTTGGCAATAAACAAGGAATTGTTTCCAAAATAATCTGTTATTCTATCTATTGCATTATTGTGTTTACACAATCTAAATCTTCCTATAAGTCTAGTTTCCCCCATTCCTTTTGGTTTTGTTCTAACTTTGTCGTTGCCTCCAGATTTACTGGTGAAAATCTGTAGACATGTTTTATTGTAACTGTTTTAGCCATGTCCTTACAATGTTTACAGTGTTCATATATGTTCACGATATGTGAGGTATTGGACTTGATGGCCTCATAATTCCCTTCCAACTCTAAATCTATGTATTGCTTTCACAATAATATTGTAGCTTGCCATTGCCTTTTCTGGGTTTTATTTTGAAGCTACTGAGCCCCACTTTGTTTCCTCTTGTACTGTGTACTGTTTTCTTTTGACTTTACCTGCAAAGGTGAATCTCCTGTTCCATCCAACGTTGCTTTCAACATCACTGAGGGCTACCAAGACTTCCTACCACATCAGATGGAAGAAGAAGGTAATTGCCATTGTTTTTCCTTGTGACAATGGCTGCAGCGTTGTATCCCAAGTTTACCTGCCCTTTATAGGTTGGTGGCTTCTTCAAATACACACCTAGGTTAGAATGGGGTGAGGTGTGTGGAAGGTGGTCTGTTTGGTTGATGACTCTAAAGGAATGTATAGGTAGGCTAGGGGAGGCTGATTGTGATACTCCAAGATCAATGCTAGTTTTGGATGGTAGGATCAGAAGGTTGAGTGATTTTTTTGGGATTCTTTGGCTTGGGGACCAGCAAAGAGTTGAGATTAGGTGGGTGTGGGCATGTGTGTATGTGTGTGTGTGTGAGAGAGAAATAGGATAGGACAGACAAAGCTGTTATGGTGATGATGGACAAGGGGAATAAGGCAAGGGAATAAGACTTCACTTGGGGAAAGTGAACTTGGTGGTAGTTCAGAGAATTGGTAAATACCACCTCTAGCCCCATTTATTCTCTGTCTCCCAAGTCGCAGCTGATCGGGAGGCAATGGGGATTTTGCAGTATCCTTCCCCTGGAGTGGGGAGGGAATGAAGATTTTACAGTATCCTTGCCATGCCACGCCCACAGAACCGGCAGTAAAAAAAATTGAATCCCACCACTGGTAACATCCTGAGGATACCCATTGGAATATCTCTTCATTTGACAGGTATTGCTGTCAATAGTTTCCCAGGAAGCTGTGGCAAATTGTATATTCATTCCTAGCATGATTGGCTGTGGGTTTTAAGACCCACCCCACTTCCAGGGATTTTAAAACATTTAACTTTGTCTAGGCATCTGCTTCCCCAGTCAGAGTTAGTGCATAATTTGGAGATCCTTCTGGATCATGATTCCTTGAAGAACAGGTAGTAGTCATGCCTAGGTGGACATTAGCACATGTCTTGTACACCAACTACATCAATACCTGGACTGCAAGACTTTGCTCACAGTGATTCATGCTTCAGTTCCCTATTTGGATTACTGTATTGCATTCTGCATGGGATTGTGAAGAGCATTGGCCCAGTTGCAGCTGGTCCAGAATTCAGTAATATGGATAGTTTCTTGTTCTTAACATAATAACACTATTTCTCCATGAGCCTCAACATCCGAAATGATAAGAGGAAATAAAGAAGAAGAAAGACTCCACAAATTATTTCTGGCTCCTAATAGGGGTGTGTGTGTGTGTGTATATACTTTTTTCTGTTAGACAAGCTGAGTGGCCTAGAAACTGGACCTTGTAGTTGAATCAGGAAACTATAGTGATGAGTCCAGCAGGCCACTTTAGGAGACAAAGGTACATGGCATTCCCAACTCTGCCATCCAATATTTTGCTGCTATTCCTGTCCATGGTATGTATTGCCAAAGTCCACTGCTTCTCCCTTGGTTCACGTGGGGCTAGCTTCGGCCTCTCCTGCACAGAGGAATAATGTTGATAGGGACAGGAACTTTGATACGGATTCTGACCATGTGTCTCTTGGATCATTCACTTATCAAAACATCACAGAAACTTGGTGATACCACAGTTTCTTTTACCAGCACAACTCCAGTTTTGGAGCAGTCTTCCTTAGCCTGGCTTACCTCCAGGTATGTTGGCTTACAACACTGAATGCTCCTAGTCAGCCAATACTTATGTTAGGAGCCAGACTGGGAATGATTGAAGTTGGATTTGATTGGGCTTGAAATAAATGTTTGTGCCTCTGAGACAATTGAACAGATGCCTTTAATATGCAAGTTCTAAGTAGCACCAACATAACTTGAAGCAGCGTTCAAAATTAATGATTAGTTTAACTTGTTTATTTCAACCAAATTGTGTGGCTTCGCATAACAAAATGAAGTCTAAGCTACACATGGATGGCTTCACAACTTCTCATGCAACATGCAATTGCCTAAACGTCTGAGGAGATTCTCAAGTCATTCAGGTCATGATTGTCCCAAAAGGGCTTTTTCAAGAGGCAACTGGACTTTGCTAGTTTTTCTTTGAAGACATTTAGCTTCTCATGCAAGAAAAAGCTGAAGAAGTTATTGGATGAGAAACTTCTTCAAAGAAAAACCAGAAACTCCAGTTGCCTCTTGAAAAAGCCCCTTTGGGATATGCAGTTGCCTAGTTGATGGCTCAGCTGTTGTCTCACTTTAGGTATACCTTCTTGTCAAGATGGGGGCAGACCACAAACAGTCCCCAAGTTTTTCATCTTCTGAAGACATGACCCCACTCCAAACATGACGCTCCTGTCTTTTGCACCCCAAGAGAAATTCCAGGTGGATAGACGAAAAACCCGATCCCCAATTCCTCCCGTTCAGGATTTGAACCCAAAGGAAGTTACTGACCAGCGTTAGTAGCGCTCCCCTTGCCAGGAGGCATAAAACGAGCAGCGCGCCCTGGAAACATGGGTTGGGCGGATGCCGCTGCGTTCTTGCCTTTTCTTCCCTACGGCTTCCTCGCCGGGCGGGTGGCGGAGGGGAACCGCCGGCCTGCAACCTCCAGGGGGCGCAGCGCCGGGCCGGCTGGAGTCCGCGGCGGCGCTGCTTCTGTTTGGTTCGTGCCCGCGCAGCTGCGTGGGAAAAAGGAAAAAACAGGCGAGGCGGGTCTCCCAGGGAGAGGCGGCTCTCTTGCCGCAGAGAGGCGGCCTTGCCCTGCGAGACCGGGGCCCTTCTCCCTGTGCCTGCTTTTGCGCTTTTCACAGCCTTTCGCCTTTCCCACCAGCATCCTCGGGAAGGAGCCAGGAGGAGGTCAGTAAAAAAGAAAAGGAGGGAGGAAAACCAAACGGGGAGGGGACGCATCTGGAAGGGGGCAGAACTGAGACGCTGCAAGCCTCCCGGTCTTCGCGGAGGAAAAGGCGAGCGAGTTGCTCGGCAAAAGCCCAGCTTCAGACGATGCCCGGGCGCCTAAACGCGCGTCTGCAGTCGGTTGTTGGCGAGTCCTCGTGGTTTTCTTTAAACTATGAATGATTCCAGCCGGGCGGGTCCGCGTGGAAGAAGAGTTTAGCCTGTGGGGCTAACCGAAGCGAGGAACTGGTGTATCGCTGGTGGGAGTGGGGTGGGGTGGGGTTCTGCTTTCGACTCCGAGGCGAGTCCAACTTCTGCTTAAGAATTCCGCCTGGGGAGAAGTCGAGGGGCAGCTTGTCTTCAAGGAGGTATGTACAAAACGAGAAAAAAAAGAGTGCCGCTTCCCCTTCCTTTGCAGCTGCCGCCCGAGTGGGTTCAGCAGGGCTTAACTTGGGACTAACCCTATATAGGAAGGATCGTCTGCTTGCCACCTTTGGGGGCTTGCAAATTTCGCCCCTCGGTTGTAAGCTTGGTCAAAACTCCTGCCCTCCGGCGTTATAGATGATAAGGTCTATTACCCTCGGCGCCACCCTTGCCATGGTCAATAAACACGGGTGGCAGCTACAATTCAGCATTCCTGGAAGGCAGCTAAGAGTCGTCCTGATACCGTAACCTTTGTCCCAAGAGGGGAGTTTTTGCTCAGACCAGTCCAACTATATTCTGGATGAGTTGCTTTTGGGGGGCTCCCAGCCCTGTGTCTGGCTTTGGACTTTGGCTTTCTGTGACTTAAACCCTCTGCCTACTTCACACGGTGTCTTAAGCCAGGGGTCTCCAATCTTGGCAACTTTAAGACTTGCGGATTTCAACTCTCAGAATTTGCTGGAATTCTGAGAGTTGAAGTCCGCAAGTCTTAAAGTTGCCAAGATTGGAGACCCCTGGTCTAAGCCATTGTGTGGTTTTTAGGCTTAACTTGTTTGTGTACAATCCAGCCTCAATGACTTTGGAAGTCTCTCTGGAAGCAGACTGTTCTTCTCAACTATGGGGAATAGTGGGGAGAAAAACCATCCTTTTCTTGCCTTCCCCACTTGGCAACCTTTTGATGTGGGGAAAAGTCTGGGTTGACAACTATCCCACACTTCGTTGGCTGGACATTCTGGCAGCTGTAACACTAGGAAAGCTTGGAGGAAGCTAGTTAAGCTGGAGACACCAAAGAAAAACAAACAACTATTAGGAAAATTGCAATGCCTGGTTAATGCCGCTTGCATCCCGAAGCACATATATTAAAATCAGAAGGGGAGGGGCAGGTTCTTTTAAGTTTGTGCACAAATTCTTGAATTGCTTCTAAGGAAAAATCCAAGCACACACACACCTCCTTTCCACCATGTAGAGTTATGTAACTGGGTGGTACTCTTCACAGCTAGTCTGTCGGTTTGGAAAAAAGGTGCTACTGTCTTAGTGGTAATTTCCTCCCCCCATTAATCGAGTGGCACTTAAATCTGCCTGTTGCCATATAAACTTGGGTGGCTGTTGAAGTTATGAAAGAAGAACAAGAAAGCTGCAGCTGATGCTTCTCCTTCACCTTCTGCTTATAATACTACTACCAATAAATAAGAATATATCTTGAATACCTTCAAAGAACAGCACTCGTCTATCCCAGGGGAGGTTCGGAAGGATTCAATAGGTAGGTAAAAATGCCAAATCGAGTCTAGACATCTGACTGATTGGGTGACCAGCCATAATAACAACAACAATAATAATATACTTTTCCCCTCTAATAGTAATAAAAGTGGCACAGGGAGGGTTATTATTCAAAAGGCAAAATGCTGTTCCATTGTCAGTGACATGGTAGAGCACGAGACTGGACGAATGTGCTGACTTTGGTTCAGGGTGCGCTTGCTTTCTGTTAAAGGGATCGCCCCATTTTTGCTCCAGTGGCTCAGTTTTATAAAACAGACTTTTCTGCACCACGGTTCCTGGGATTTAAATCTATCTCCTACCTAAGCCACTTCCTCAGATAGGCTCGGATTGCAGCTTTCCAAATTGCCAATGGAGCTTTAGAGAGGGATTGATGAGGAGGACAGGAAGATATTAAAACTGGCCAAGAGAAAAACAAAAATTTGAGGGTGAAAGCAATGGGAGTCAAAAATCAACTCATCTGGGAAAGGCCCTTGCTGGTTGGGAAAGTACATCATGTAAGAAACCAAAAGAAAATTATGCTTTAATCTTATTAAGTTCCATTATTTCTTTTTGATGTTTGATTTAATATACCTAATCTTCCTTCCTCCTCCCATTTTCCTCAACAACTCCTCTGTAGGGTAGGTTGGGCTGATAAGGACTCACCCAAAGTCCCCCAGCCAGATTTTATGCCTAAGGCGTGTGTAGAACCTAATTATTATACTGCATTGATGAGAAGAGGCTAAAGAATCCCAAGGAATTTCAGAAAGGAAATTATTAGTGGTGCAGAATAAAATTCTGTGGGTAGAATATAACATGACATCACAGAAAACAGGATGTGAATTAAAAAATCTTAGAAGCAACACTGCACTTTTCAAAGCACTGAACTAAGCACTTCTTAATATGCCAGTTCTCCATGTGTAGGACAGAATGTAGCATGCTCTCAAATCAAGTTCAAGATCAAGGAAAAGGATTGTATTTAAATGTGATATTTTCCCACCTTCAGAAAGAAAGTTTGTACAGATTGTACCACAGATTCTCAACTCCTTGCATTTTTGCCTTCCATCTATCACTGTGATAAAAGAACCTGGATCTGAGAAACTGGTTCTTCCGTGGGATTAGCCAGCTCTACCTGTGCAGGTAGAAGGGGCATGCTGCAGTGCAGACCAGGTCAGCCAAGGAATCTCAGCTGATAGGATCAAGAAGACCCCTTTCAGCCATGGCTCCTGGCTTTCCAAAAGGCCTTGAACTTCATGGCCATGCCAACTACCGTCTTTCCCCGAAAATAAGACAGAGTCTTATTTTATTTTGACCCCCCGAAATAAACCCTTGGCCTTATTTTGGGGAAGGTCTTATTATTTTTGAGGCAAAGGAGGCGACGAGCATGGTCAACTCATGGCTGCTGCTGTGTTGCAATATTTTTGGGGAAGGCTTATTTTAGTGCATGTGCTCAAAAGCCCCACTGGGTTTATCATCCAGGGGGGTCTTATTTTCAGGGAAACAGGGTAGTCTGCAGTCCCAATGGGGTGTGGCACATTGGAGGTGCCTGATGGCGTAGAGCAGTGGTTCCCAAACTTAGCAACTTTAAGACTTGTGGACTTCAACTCCCAGAATTCTCCAGCCAGCAGAGTCCACAAGTCTTAAAGTTGCCAAGTTTGGGAACCACTGGCGTAGAGAACACCCCCACCTGCTCCCTCTGTGCACTTTGCTCTCCCCCCCTCTCCTTCCTGCTTAGTTTTACTTTAACTGACTTTTTCAATTTAAGATCCTTAGTTATTGTTTTAACATTTTATGCTGTTCTATTCAATGCCTGCAAGCTTCCTAGATTCCCCCTTTGCTGGGATACAAGTTTGATAGACAAATAAATTAATAAATTAAAATAAATAAAAGTTCATTTTCTTCCTGATATACACACATCTTTAAGCACCCTGTTATTATGTTATCTTTTACAGCAGTTTTCAAGAGTTGATTTGAGTTTCAATTCTTGACCTTGTGGCTCGCCTGAACTGTTTCTGAGCCTTTTAGTGAGATGCATGCTCTTAATTAACAACCACTGGTCTACCTAACGAGGTTGGTGTTTTCCAGAGGAGTTTTAACAGAACGTTCGGTGTCCTTGGTCTTTGAATATTCTGTCTGGAGCCTGTAAGATTTGACCCTCAAAGCAACTGCCATCATGGGGCTGCAGCAGGTCTGAGCCAATCTGGCTCGGACTATTTTACCTGCTTATTTCAATTCAGATCTACAGAAATAGGCTCTGAAGATCTTTTCTGGTTGGTCCTTTCCAGGGGTGGGTTCCTTCCGGCATTACTATTGGCTCTGCGCACATGCACACATGTACCTTAAAAGGTCTGCCCATGTGCACAACATTAGAAAAGGGGAAAAATTAATTTTTTTCAATGAAGATTGTTCTGCGCCTGTGCGGAACGGAAAATAAAGATGGCGCTGCTGAGGATAGAACCGGTTTGGGGGGGGAGGTGTCCGAGTTATTACCTAACTTGGCCGAAGCGGTAGGAACCCACCTCTGGTTCTTTCCTTGTTTTGTAGTGTTTCATGTTTCTCAGGAAGTGCCCAAGGTCTTGGAGAGTCGGGCTGTGTTCAAATAAAATAAATAAATAAAGGTGATTAGGATCATGGGAACGAACTGAGACTTGTCCAAACATAGCTGGGTATATTGTGTCAATCCTTTTACCTCCCTGCAGCCTTGTTTAGAATGGGACATTATGAATCAACGCCCTTTTTTCTTTCAAACCTCTTCTGGCTAGTTTCTTTTGTTACAGCTGTTTTGTTAGGAGGTTGCTAATTGAACAAATACAGGCAGGCAGGCAGGCAAATATATTTATTTACTGTATTTTTTGGAGTATAAGACACAACTCCCCCCCAAAAAACAGAGGGTGTAAATCTCAGTGCGTCTTATACACTGAATACAGCATTTTTGGCCTCCTGAAACCCTGCCCCCTTCACAAAAATGGACGTGCATAGCCTTTAAGAGGCTTCCAGAGTGCTCCTGGGGGCTGGGGAGGGCAAAAACGAGCAAAAATGGGCCAATTTTTGCCCGTTTTGCCCCCCCACAGCTCCCAGGAACACTCTACAAGCCTCCCAAAACCTATGCATGCCCTGTTTTTTTGCAGAAAGAACGGGTTGTTTTTTTCTCATTTTTAATCTCCCCAGCCCCCAGGACCACTTTGCAGGCCCATCAAACTCTCTACATGCCCCATTTTTCACAAAAAATGAGGTGTGCAGAGGGTTTTGGAGGCCTCTGCAGAGTGCAAAAACTTTTTTTTTTAATTTACCTCTTCAAAATCTTGGTGCGTCTTATACTCTGGTGCGTCTTATACACCGAAAAATATGGTATTCTTTTATTTGTCAAACATGTAGAAGATAACAAATATAAGTATGAACATAAAAACGAACAAAGGAAGTAAATACAAATAAATGGGGACAAAATCACAAATCTGTGGTGTTTTGGGGTTTTCACGATATTGCAGTCCCTGTTTTATACCTTTAGAGCCCTTTGTGGCTTGGATTACTTGAAGATCCATCTTCCTGTCATTTCTACCTGTCCAGTTTGGTCAAGCAGGTTGGGCCTGCTGCAGGTCCCATCCGCCAAGGAATGTTGGCTGGCAGGAACTAGGAGAGGTGCCTTCTCTGCCATAGTTCTGCCCTCGGGGAACCTTCTCCCTTCAGATATCAGCATGACCAGTGGTGGGTTGCCAGTTATTTTACTACTGGTTCAGGTGCAATTGTGCCTGCACTCATGCATGCGCACAACATTTCTGCACATGCACAGAAGCGTTTGGGGTGTGGGCGGAGCCTCCCACCACTGCTACCACCAATTCGCCCAATCCAGGCCGAACCAGGAGTAACCCACCCCCTAGCCCACTCAACTTTCACAACATCATGGAGTCTTCTTTGTGTGCCCAGTTTCCTGGGTGTATGACCAACCCTAGTAACAGTTTTACTTGGTGCCAAGTATGTTATATTCGTTTGCTCCTGTTTTAAATGCTTTTATGTTTTACAATGTATGCCACCTGAAGTCACGTGCTGAGATGCTGGCTAAGGATCAAGAAAGATCCCAAGTAGAAAGGAACAAAAAGCAGATGATGGGAGACACCAGGCCTCGTGTAAAGATGATTAGGGGACTGGAGACTAAAACATTTGAAGAATGGTTGCAGGAACTGGGTATGTCTAGTTTAATGAAAAGAAGGACTATGGGAGACATGATAGCAATATTCCAATATCTCAGGGGTTGCCACAAAGAAGAGGGAGTCAAACTGTTCTCCAAGGCACCTGAGGGTAGAACAAGAAGCAATGGGTGGAAACTAATCAAGGAGAGAAGCAACTTAGAACTGAGGAGAAATTTCCTGACAGTTAGAACAATTAATCAGTGGAACAGCTTGCCTCCAGAAGTTGTGAATGCTCCAACACTGGAAGTCTTTAAGAAGATGTTGGATAGCCATTTGTCTGAAACAGTATAGGGTTTCCTGCCTAGGCAGGGAGTTGGACTAGAAGACCTCCAAGGTCCCTTCCAACTCCTGTATTGTATTGTATTGTATTGTATTGTATTGTATTGTATTGTATTGTATTGTATTGTATTGATCAGCATCGATGGCCCAGGCATACTTCTGGATGCATGAGGACCCAGGGCTGGGTTCTGGCAATCACTGCTGCCAGTTTGCTCATGGCTGCGTCCTGCCCGCACGCTTGATGTGCACTGTGCGTGCATGTGCAGTGCAACAAAAATTGCTCTGCACATGCACAAAAGCAAAAAAAACAAGACCCCTGAACCGGGAGAACCGGTTCAGGGGTGTGGCAGGCCTGGGTCGCTGCTGGTTCTAATGACCCAGGCTGGCAAACCATTACCGGTTTGACCAAACCAGTAGGAACTCACCACTGTGAGAACCACAGCTCTCAAAGTCAACCCTGGTTGTGTTCACAGGACATGACTGCTAATACCGTGTTTCCCCGACTATAAGACAGGGTCTTATTTTCTTTTGACTCCCGAAATAA